CCAGATCCAAGATTCGAGAGAAGAGTATGTTCTTCGGCGACAACTTCTCCGCTATGAGGCCCCTGCCGCCGTCGGTTCTCGACGGTCCAGCGATACGATCAAGATCTGTGGTCTTCAACGAAGCTTTTACGATGGATCTACGCAGTGGAGAAGAGAGAGAGAGAGCTTCGGCAAGGAGAGAGAAGGTAAACGCCGATAAGATGCGGAGTTGTCACGCATCGCAAAAAGATCGAGGCGGGGCACTAGCGAGGAGAAGCGACGCGAGATCGGCGGTTTGAAAGTTGGCGAGTTGACTCAGTCAACTCGGCTGAGTCAACTCATTTACCGAGTCGACTCGTTCGAGGGTTTTTTTTCGGTGACTCATCGGTTTGACGGATCGATGACTTAGTGACAACGCTAGCTTCGTGAGGTGATACTGACTCAAACCATTGCTCTTTGGTACTGGAGTCCTCCAATGCCCTCGTCCTAGTTGAAGAGATTAACGATGGTTGATCGAGACGAAACTTGATCGACGCGACGACGAGTTGAATCAAAAGAAATTGGGTGACACGATGACGCAAGGTTGATTTGTGGATCCGACGACTTAACGAGGTAATGATGCTATGAGGTGATTATGTCGAGGCGAGGTGACGTTGATGAGGGGGAGTTTGATCGGCGAGGTGAAGCTTGATCGACGCGACGACGAGGTGAAGCTTGATCGATGCGACGGCGAGGCAAAACTTGATCGATGTGACAGGAAGACGAAACTTGTTCGATGCGACAGTAAGACAAAGCCTGTTCGATGCGATGGCAAGACGAAGCTTGTTCGATGCGACGACGAAGTGAATTCAGTGAAGGTGACGCGACAGGGAGGTGAAGCTTGATCGATCTGACAACGAGGTAAAGCTTGATCAACGCGACGGCGAGGCGAAGTCTAATCGATGCGATGACGAGAGATGGTTATGACGAGGTCGTTTTTAGATAAGAGACAAGTCAACGAGGTTGTCTTGGCGAGGATGGAAAAATCAAGGCGGACTTGTTTATTTGATGTCGAGTAGACTCGTGTTGACGACGCCGA